GAACCGCTGACCTGCTGATCTAGCAGTAGCCTGCAGTGCTGCATTTAACCACTGCGCCACCTTGGCTCTCTGGGCATCGTATCAGTGTAGCAAATAAACGGAATAAAATCAGACCCCTTCCACACCTGCTCACTCATCCCACAAAGAGGGATGCTCTGCTCTCTGTACAGCTCCCGACCCCCAGAGAGCAATGGAATTCTTTATTTATTGGCCAAGTGTGATTGGACACACAAGGAATTTGTCTATGGTGCCCCCCTCCCTCCCCCCCTCCCAGTTCAGCTTGTTCCGTAGTCAGCCTTGAAGGATCAGACGTAGGAGCAGAAATGGGGAAGGAAGCAGCGGCCAGACAGGAGTCCTCCCCCCCCCCCTCCTGCTGAATCAGGGCAGCGTCTGTGGCAGAAAACTCACCAGCGGAAGCTGCGTTTTCTACAAAAATATACTTTTATTTGTGAGAAGAAGTTAAAAGATCCACAAGAACAGCCACGGAAACAGCCACAGTTGGAGCCACAGGTTCCCTTCTGCGCCCCCTCCCCTCATGCCCCCCAGTCCGAGCCAGGGGCTGCCTCTCTTCTGGGGCTGTAGGTGGGGGCCCCTCCGGATCTCTGCAACAACATCCACTCCTGAAAGGGAGAATCGGAATTAGCTCCAGAGTGGCTGGGTTGAAGCATTAGGGGCTGCTGTGCCTGGGGGGGGGGGGCAAGTAACAAGGTGGCCACAAAGCAGAACGCAGATGCCCCTGGGGCTCAGTCCTCCCCCCCCCCTCCCAAGAGATTCTTCCCAAACAGCTGGAACTTCAGCCCTTTCTCCCTTGAAATTCTGACCACCCTTCAGAGCTCCCATGCGGGCACCTCAAAGGGAGGGCAGCTTCTCTGGTGGGGGCAGCCCCCAGGCCAACTCCAGGGGAGCCTGTGGGGCGGAATGGCTGAGAAGGCTCCCAGAAAAAGGGGGCCCAGAGAAGGTGGGCAGAGCAGCCTCTGTTCTCCTGCTTCGCAACAATTCATTTCCTGCCCCAAGAGTTTGATGGTGGTGATGGGGGGCTCCCTTGTTTCCTGATAGTGGCTGCAGAGGCCCCTTCCTCTCCACCTGGCCCCGGAAGTTCTGGAAAGGAGCCCCATCATCACTCTTCTATTCCAGGCACCCCAAATGCCGCGAGGAACCAGAGCGGCAGAGAAGATGAAGCTGGGCAAGGGACCCACCTGTTGCTCGGAGTTCAGCATTGCCTGGCCGCCTCTCCTGGGGGGCCTCCACCAGCACAGCAGGCCAAGGGTCACCAGGAGCAGGACAACGCCCAGCACGCAGAAGACGGCCGTCTGGCCATTCCACCCGGGCACAGGCTCCTCTTGGCCAAATCGGGTGGGGCCGACCTCCACAACGGCACCTGCTCCAATCAGACCAGGAGTGAGTGCCCTCCCCACAAGCCCCCCCTCTTCCCCAAGTCCCCTTGGCCCCCAGCCGTACCATTCCTGGGCAGCAGCACAACGACGCTCCCGACACTCTCTGGGGCCGGGGCGGCCGTTGTGTGGGTCAAGGCCGGCAGGCGCTGCGATGGAGTCTCCCTGGGCACTTGCTCTGACGGCAGCGTCTCCATCGGGACCACCGCGGTTGACCCCACGGAGCTCAGAGGCTGAAGCGGGGAACGGCTGGTGGGGCCGGGTTGGGCACCGCTCTCAGAGGAGCCGACCTGGGCAGACCCCCTCCCTTCCGCCAAGAAAAGGAAATGTGGTCAGGCAGGAAAGGGAAGCCCCCCTCCCCCGGCCCTGCTGGGCAAGGAGTCCCAATTGGTGGAGAGGAGGGGACCCCCCCAAAAACATTCCCTCCCAGAAAAGAGGTGCCCCCCGTCCTTTCAGAAACATCTGGCTCTGCCATTTTGCCTGGGGCTGGGTGGCCCCTGAAGACCCCCCCCCTCCCTTTCTTTCATTTTGTCAAACTTTTCAANTTGGCCGCCCTGGCTGGGAGTTGGAGTCCACCACCACCTTAACCTTGCCAAGGTGGAGAAACACTGGTTTGTCAGGGGGCGGGGGGGGGGAGGTTTCCTGGCCGCTTCTGTGGGCCACCGAGAAGCTGCCCTCCTTCACAGCCAGAGCCACTCGCACTGTCCCCGAGAAGGCCCTCCCGTGGGCTCCCTCCTCTGCCTGCAGCTCTTTCGTTGTGTGAGGGGGAGCCTGCCCCCTGTGGAAGGCATGCACCTGACCCACATATTCCCTCCGAGCCCTGCCTTGCCCCTACAGTCCCCACCCCCTAAGTCTCTACATCCCCCTCCTGGGGGTGGGAGCAGAGGACCTTCCTCCCTCTCTTATTCTTTTTCCTTCCTTCCTTCCTACTTGGAAGCATAACAGGTGGGTGGGCACAACCCTTGAAAGCAACCCCCAGCCCCTCTTGACAGCCAGTTCAGGGCCCGAATGCTTTGGTGGCCTCCCTTGACTGCCCTTCTTTCCTTCAGCCCTCCCTCCCTCCCTCCCATCTTGGGCAAGATTTCCCAGGAAAGGGGGGGGGGCTCTCTAGGCCCTGCATCTCCCTCTGCGACCCTGCCAGGGGTTGCTTCCAACCATGACATGCTCAGGATCCCCTGGGGAATTCCAGGCAAAGGCTGGGGAAGCACCGAGTGGCAGGGGAGGAAATGAGCACACACATTGGGGGGGAGGGGCGGGGGGGGTCATCCCAGGCTCTGTGCCACAAGACCACCCAGAACTTCCTTTTAAAGGGTTTACACAAAGATACGTCTGTCTGTCTCACTCTCTCACACACACACACCCCTCTGCCTCTGTCTCATCTGCCATTGGTGGGGAAAGCAGGGGGTGTCCTGGGAGGCTGAAGGTCTGGGGTGCCTGTGGCTTTCAGGCCCAGAAAACTGCTGGGAGGGGCACGGAGCCAGAACCTCTCCAGTCCCCCCACCACCCCCCACTCCACCCCCAGCTGTAAGAGCGACTGGCATCAGGGTGGGGGGGGGAAGGGTTTCTGGCGTGTGGCCAGACCTTGGCACAGGGGGCAGGGGAGGGACCTGGTGCCCCCCCCAATGCAGCTCCGGATGGGGGGCAGCAGGGCTCCCGCTTTCAACCAGCCTCCCAACAAGGTGAATTTCAGGGCCAAACATTAAAAATGCAGGTGTCAGCACTCCTCCAGTTAGGAAAGGAAACCCACGAGACTCCATTGATAGAAATCAAGGGTACTTTTACTAATTATAAATGA